ATATATATATATATATATATATATATATATATATATATATATATTATACCAAGTCTTCTTCTTTTATACAATCTAATATTATTCATGTACAAACAAAAAACCCAAGTATACAATCACTGCTCTGTAATAGACACATGAAAACATTTCAACTTTCTGGAGTTACAACATAAATTTAACTTATATGAAGCCATATAATCTTTTCAAAAGAAGCAACATATGCAGGGCAAATCACCCTTACCAGCTGATCAACATCACAAGTGATACAAACTGATGCATCAGTAATGAACCAACCTTTCGTGATCATGTTGCAAGAATGTCTTGCAGCTTTCGAGTTGGTCAGATTTGACATTGTTCCCATGTTGGTGGCAGGATCAGTCCTTCCGATGATGATGACGACGACGAGCTTCTCTTTCTCACTGAAAAAGCCTTGCAAGTTACACACAATCCTTCCTTCCCAAGGAACATTTTGCCTGCCTTTCTATGCAAGTCCATCAACCTGCCATTGCAAAATCACTACACATCTAGTAAAACTCACAGAATGATTATCCAGGATCATATGCACCATCGAACCAAGAGTTTAATCGTCCAAGGAACTGTACACAAGAGGAGATGAAGAGTGGAGGAAGGAACAAGAACAAATAACAAAAAACAAAAATAAAAAAGGTTGCCTAGGGCAGCTTCATCTGGCAATTTGATGTGTGACTTTCTAGGTTTTTTCTGCCTCTCCATGTGACTGCATACATTGACTTCCTCACCTTCTACCATGTCCATATGCTTAGTGCCACTTATCGCAATCTCTAGTTGTCCTTTGCCGCTCAAATGTGTGTAGAATCCTACTCCGCGATCATAGCAAAGGTAACATTCATGACACCGTAGATGGTAGTGATAGCAGATAAAATTTCCCCAACTATACGAGAAAAATCCTCTATTCTGTTGAGGGAAATCTTCTCTCCTAATCTATATAAATAGGAGAGAAACATGTTAATGTATTCAAGCTTTTTTCAATAAAGCTTCTTCAATAATTCTTCTTGTCTTTTATTTTTTCCAACATGGTATCAGAGCAGGTGAGTCGAGCGAGGCTCTATGGTCATCGAAGCTTGCCATTCACCACATCCCTTGCCCGCTCCTTCCCTCTTCTCCTCCATGGGGCCTTCTTCTTTACCGGCGTTGCTTGCACTAACCAGGTTTTTCCACCTCTGCTACAGCTTTCTTCTCTGTTATAGCATTACTGCTCCTCTACTGTAGCTTTCTCCTCTATTGCACTTCTGTTGCAGCTTTCTCCTCTACTATAGCATCGCTGCAGCTTTCTCCTCTGCTGCACCTCTACTGTAGTTTCCTCCTCTATTGCACCACTGCTGCAGCTTTCTCCTCTACTGCACCTCTGCTACAACTTTCTCTTCTATTACACCTCTGCTGCTTGTAGCTACCTCCTCTGCTGCACCTCTACTCGTCGTCGCTATCGCAACCGCAGCAATAGCAACAATAGCAGTAGCGATCTGCTCTTGCTCTACTCACAAAGCCTCTAGCTTGTAAACTGTTTGTTTTTCATCGATCCAAGATTGGTATCCTTGACAGGAGCACCATCTTGTGGGGGCATGATAGCAGATAAGATTTCCCCATCTATACGACGAAAATCCTCTATTCTGTTGAGGGAAATCTTCCCTCCAAATCTGTATAAATAGGAGAGAAACATGTTAATGCATTAAAGCTTCTTCAATAAAGCTTCTTCAATAATTCTTCTTGTCTTTTATTCTTTCCAACAGGTAGGACTGAACAGTTTCAGATCTCTATGTCGAAAATATAGTCTGTGCATCATCTCTTTTACAACACATTATCTGCAAAGTCTTTATTTCAGTACACATTAGCATTTACAGTGTTTGCTACAGATTCCGATTTGCACGATTTATATTTCTCCTTAAGATCACATTTGACCATAGTTCATACATGAATGTAGATCTCATTCTGTATCCAAATCTTTCTGTTTTCTTAAACATGTTTGAATTCCACAAAATTGCAGGAAATTAAAAATTGCATAAAGCCCCAATCAGATCACTATCCTAAACTCTTTCTTAACAGAAACATCAATAGCTCTCCTCATCTTTCCAGAGATTCTAATAATGAGGAAAAGTTTCGTTGCCTAAGTCACGGACTTAGCTGGTTTTGCCTAAGTCGTGCGGCACCCTTGCGTGTCCGTCCGCAAAGATCAGCCTCCCCGAAGCCTCCCATGGTCCCTTAGGACTCATAAAAGAGAAAACAGGTTAGAGAAAATGCCTCACTCGGGATCCACAAGCAAACATTCCAGGAAACACTTCATAGACAATGCAAATTACAAACAGACTTTACAAGCTCTAAACAGTTACACAACAAAGGGTCAAAATGGTCCACTACAGACCGAAAATCCCTCACAAGTGTCAACATGACACAACATTTATTTACAAGCCTAAAACGGTCACCAAACCCAACTAAAATGGGACTATTAAGCCTTCGGCTGTCCCTCTACATGCTAGGCAAAGAATGAACATATCAAAAGACACGGACATACATAAGCATTACATCAAACATCCTATTTCGAAGTTTGTCCGTGACATTCTCCCCTACTTATTCATTCGACGTCCTTGCCAAAGCCTTTGTGAACACTGCAACTCCTCGCCTTTGCTAAGTCTTCAATTTTCTGCTCCGGCTGCAATGTGCCTCTTGGCTCCCAGCTGCTCTCCGCTGCTGTTTTTGAGTAGTCGAATCTTTGATCCGCCATGCTGCTTCAACTCACCAATGACTCTGACTCTGGTGTGGGGTTGGCTGAGTTGTATTGATCATTGTTGATTCCTACGGATCCTCTAGATGAAGGAAAAGATCATCCTTACTATGCGCCAGTCTTTCAGATACCTCATACTGCTTGAACTAGGTGGATGCTTGTTGGAGCTTTAATGAGCATTGACTCGCAAACTTTTAAAGTTTTTGGTCCTTCCTCCACAAAATTTGCTCATCAACTCTTTTTTCACTTAGTTGTCACTTCCAAATAGATTCACATCACTTCCGATTTCGATTGACATTCTGTTGGGAAATGAGGTGGATATTCTACTCTCAATAGCACTGATCACCAATGGTGAGGATTTGACAACTATTGTCTTCTAATATCTTCGAAGGGTCTTTAAACCTGTGCAGAGCTCCTCTACTGGATAGATAAGAGAATTAGGGTACTCAGTTTCGCCCATTCTCTTAAGGGTTGAAAAGGCAAAGGTTACTTGACTTCGCCCGCCTCCTCGAGGTTGTACTCCATGCATCGAGCTGGTTACTGGCCTTCGCCTGCTCTTTGCTCACACTTCTGAAGCACTTGAAGTGTTTGCACTCCTTGCGTTGAGTTAGTTACTGTGATTCACCTTCTCAATGCCATCGAACTTTTGGAATGCAGGAAGTTTTCACCCCAACTTGGAGTAATTCTCTAATAGATTTGGTTGCCTCTGAGATTGTACCGTCTTCTCCATCAACCCTACCGCCTACTCCACTGAGTAGCAAAGGTACAACACCGCATACAGCCTGCTTCGTTCCTTGGTCGTGCACTCTTGCATGACCCGAAGTCCTTCACTTTCGGCTATCTTGATGTGAAGCTCGTTGACACCGGTCTTACGAAGTTCCTTGGCCTCTGCCCTTCAGCCTTGTCTCGGTACTTGGAGTTTGCCTTTGCATGCTCCACCTCCTCGGTCCCTTTCACGACCAAGCGCTCTCCCTCCATGAGAGCAAGGGATCAATGACTTTCACGGAAGTCCCACCTCTGCGGTACCATGGCGCTGCCATGCCCATGGCCCTACTATCCGTCACCTCGCATCTGCATCCCTTTTCTTCACGATCAGTAGATATGTCTCTGTGGCACTCCTCCGAGTCCACCTCCATTCTAACTTATGCTTGATTTTGGGTAGCTAAGTCCCTCTGGACTCATCGTCGCTTCCTCGCCCCTTTTGACCCCCTGCTTCAACACCTCTGTGTTCTCCAAGTAGCTCCCTTTGGTTGATGGAAAGACAGACTGCAACTCTCATGCATGGCCTCTGCCATCACGTTGTAGGATTTGTACTGATTCTGTTCTCCTTAGCTTCCTTGGTAGCAATGTTCGCTTACTCGACCTTGTCCTCTGACTTGTCAGGCTCCCTTAAGCGAATATGGGCTCTTGAGCAGTCCAACTCTCTAACTGCTTTAATCATACCTCTGCATGATCAAGCCCCTCCCCTAGGACTCACTGGTACTTGCATTCGAACTTTTCCCTTGGTGGAACACAGCCCCCATATGCTGATGACCAAAGCTTTCATTCGATGCAAAATTCGATGCACGCACGGAAGACCCGCCTCTGCGGTACCATGGCCTTCACTCCTTGAATCCATAGCCCTTCTTTCCGTCGTGTTGTTCACCGAAGTGGAGCTTCCAGTAGCTCCCGATCATACCTCCGTATGATCTAGTCCATCACAGGACTTTCTCATGTGTATCGCATTGCCACGAACTGTTCCACCACGATCCGCTGCACCATGTCACCTCCTGGTGACATATTTATTGCATTTTGATCCTTGTGTGATGAACTCGAATTGTGATCCCTCCATGTGTGGCCTCTGCCAATACATCGCAGGGTCTCTTCCACCTTCGATTTTGTTCGCTCCTTTGGCAATCGACCTTCATCCACCCACTCTTGGGTCACACCTAGATGAAGCAACGCTCTAGGACAGTCCGTCGCCTAGTAGCTCCCGAAGTCCCCCGACTTCGCTGTAATTAGTGCACCATTGTCTGGATCCTGGGTCTCTGCCCCTACCAGCACAATTTCCGCTGCGCACCGCTTCCTTCATGGCAACACTGTGGCATATTCTTCAAGAGTACCCGCCTCTGAATCCTCTTGCCCCGTGCCAAGGCCTTCTGAACCCAACTTTGCCTCCGCAAATTGAGTCGCCTTAGTTCCTCCATCAAATGCTTCTCCGAGATAAGGTGTATGTGCCCAGAAGCTCCCTTTGTCTTTGGCACCATGCAAGATGAGTCTACTCCGTCAGAATGAAGGATCCATGGAACAACATGATCTTGCTCTTGCCTCTGCAAGAGTTCATGTCCTTGACCTCTGTCCAAGGAAAGCACTATGCCTTCGCTCCATGTTCCATCTTCTATGCTGGCTCCCTTCATGCGGCTTGGGTACTTCGCCAAGTTACACCCAAGTTGCTTCGCTCCTCGTTTTTGCATTGAGTTGATGGTGGCCCTCGCGCCCACCATTCCACGGGTCAGCCCTCCCTTGAGTCCGATCTCCATATCGACTCCAAGTGTGCCTTCATTTGTGTTGCTTTGGGTCGCTCCCCCACTTGATCTCGCAATGCATCCACCAATGCATTCTCTCGAGCGAGATCATGCGACGACTCCTCGCCGCTTGCTCAGTCCATTAAGCTTCGTGGAGTTGTTGTTTGTTGAGGTACTCCTCAATATGTGAGGTCCGTCCCACATGATTCTCCCTCTGGAGAGCCGGGACTTATCCCTCCTGGATAACTGTCCCGTTGGAGCAATATCTCTCTTCGTTTCGGAGATCACCATCCCCTTGGACTACTCCGATTTGCTGAACAAACTGTGCATTGTTCTGCCTCCTGCAAACACACTTGCTAGATTGCGACTCCACATCAATACAGCCCCCGCTGCACCACTCAAGGCCTAGCAACATGTTGAACTCGTTGCACACTTCAGCCTCCTACGGACGTATCCTTCACATGCCGAAGAGAAAGTTTTAATGCTCCATGGTGCCGAGTTTCGATCGCCTTGGGATGGCCGCGAACATTCCATCGTCCGCATACAAGCCAATGTATGAGTACCGAATTCTTTGAGTTAGCAATTCCCCTCACCTCTGTGAGCTTTGCACAACTCTTTCGGTCGCTGAGCAACTCATTCCACCTTGCATGGTCTCATCCTTTACCAAGCGCCTCACTTGCCTTGAGCACCATCAAGTATAGTTGTCAACGTTGAGCCGTAGCTCAAACTCAACCATCCCAACCTTTGTGCGCTCCGCATTCTTCCAAGCTTGCTTGTTCTCGTGGTGCCTCTTGCGCGAAGGGTTGGCCATTCCGCTGAATGACAATCTCAGATGCCCGCTCCTCCGAGCGACTCCTTTTCCCTACATCTCCATGCCCGTTTTCCCCCAAACGGTCGTGCGTGTGTTGATTGCCCTCAACGCAGCCCCGCTAGGTCCCCCACGTTTGCATGCTAAGTATTTCTATGAGTGCTTGTCCTGCTCTGGTATCATCTGTCACGGACTTAGCTGGTTTTGCCTAAGTCGTGCGGCACCCTTGCGTGTCCGTCCGCAAAGGTCAGCCTCCTATGGTCCCTTAGGACCCATAAAAGAGAAAACGGGTTAGAGAAAATGCCTCACTCGGGATCCACAAGCAAACATTCCAGGAAACACTTCATAGACAATGCAAATTATAAACAGACTTTACAAGCTCTGAATAGTTACACAACAAAGGGTCAAAATGGTCCACTACAGACCGAAAATCCCTCACAAGTGTCAACATGACACAACCTCTATTTACAAGCCTAAAACGGCCACCAAACCCAACTAAAATGAGACTATTAAGTCTTCGGCTGTCCCTCTACATGCTAGGCAAAGAATGAACATACCAAAAGACACGGACATACATAAGCATTACATCAAATATCCTGTTTCGAAGTTTGTCCATGACATAATGGCACAACCGCTGCACATGTAATTAATTATTCACATGAATGGACAAAATAATTTAAATATAAGACAAGCAAAACACAGCCCAATTAGGAATCAAAGAACCATTTACAATTAAAACTGAGAGACATCAACTAGAGAAGGATGTAAATATTTGACATGCTTGGTTCGCTACTACTCCTATCAGACAATTTAACAGTCCTCAAATGAATTATCTTTACAACAAATGCATCGAAAAATTTTGAATAACTTTATGTCTAGTGCACCAATTAAGAGTTGGAAAGAAAAATTCCTACAAAAGTGTTATGTCTGACACTTGTTGGAGTTATAATTGGCTGGAGATTAGGAAATCTGGAGAAAATAAGGAACAATGAAGATATCAAGATATGCTTTTTCCAGAATTGACAACTTTACAACTTGAAAGAAAAGCATACTAGAATCAGAATTGCAAGCAAAACTGCAGTAAGATGTCAGAGCTATGCTTTTACTACATATTATAATTACAGATTACAAGCAATTCAACAATTTGTTCATGTCACTAATTTAAAGACAGACAATGCGTGGACATACATACACAGGAGGAAAAGCATTTAATTTGAAAACCAATAAACGAAATAGTGAATATAAAATGCAACAAAAGGTCACCAAATTCAGACAACTAAAGAGGGCTACCACCCTTGGAGCCGGAAAAGAATGAATATAATAAAAATATTGTAACACATGTGGCCATGAATTATCTTCATGGTTCACCCAAATTGTATACATACACCAAAAGATAACGCAAGAAGATAGATACAATTCGAGTCAATCCACAGGAAACTTGAGGTTCAATCACAATGATTGTTCGAGAGCATACATATATCAACAAGAGTCTACCGAGTGAGAACATATAATTAGAGAAGTCAAAACAGATGATTTTAACAAATAAGAACCACAGAGAACCGCAACTAAAAGCAATCAAGGAAGACAAGAAATGTCTACAATAGGAGGTATTTGAATGTTGCATGGCAAAGTTAGTAAAAGAAATGGCACGAGTAACAGATAAGAAAATGTTATGCACGCAGCTCTTCCTCTGAAACAAAATAAAAGAAAAGATATTTTTACAGCACTTGGATGCGAACAAAGATCAGGAAGTGGTATATCTAGTCCCAAGCTTCCTGTTTAGTTTGCTCATGAAGAACAGAGGAGAAAAAGATGGAAACTAGGAGCAAAAGAGTCAACTGCAAAGGATTCAAAGTGTTCACCATGTCCGGTTTTGTAATGGCAACAAGAGTCACAATAATAGCAAGCTGCAAAACTGGCTTGCACAGGACTCATGCCTCGGCAGCCCGGTGAGGTTTGCTCTTCCGTCGGTTTCCATTATGCCGAAAACCATTGGACCCAGTTGACTCTTCATTTTTTGGTTTCAATTCATCACCATTCTCCTCTGAAACCGAATCAGACTTGTCTTTTACTAGTGAACTCCTCTTCCTCTTCCTCCCCTTCTGCACCGTCGAACCCTTAAGCTCTTTGCTTGTCACAGTAATTTTCGTATCATCTGCCCCGCCTTCATTCTTCTCGGCATCATCTTCGCCGATGTCATCCTTCATGGGCTTCTGCAGCCTTCCCCTCCTCCTATATGCAGGAAGGGGATCTTCAATACCATTCTCCAGATCCTCATGACTTGTGACCGCTGTCAATTTCTTCCCCTTTCCTCTGCCTCTTCCCATTAACCCACAGATAGACGATCAAAACAACTTGAACAGTCACATGTACCGGCAATTATAGGAAATGAGATTGGGAAAAGTTAGTTCCAAACACTGCAAATTTCATGATTGACTGCATATCCACGAGATAATGTACTGAAAAGCTTTATCATGTGGACTAAATCTGTAAAAGGTTCTAAGCTGCTAAACAAATGAATCCAAAATCCTAAGCTACTAAATGATTCAACAAAGAGAACAGTAAAAGGAAAGATTCATTGTTAGTTGCCACAGTAGTTAAGAACCTCGTAATCTGAGCGAAATTTCAGAAAAGCAAAATAAAATAAAGAGAAAAGAGCTGAAGGTATTTTGTTCACCAAAATGATCTAGGAAATGGTTATAAGGTAAGAGAACTCAAATATTAAGCATGCAACTAATTCCAAATACCATATGATTTTTGGAAAGACTGATGCTTCAAGACGAGACCAGATTACTCGAACGATTAGATCCAGTGAAGGCTATGAACTGGGGGTTTTAGATGTTCAGAAAAGCAAACCATCAAATATTAAGCATGCAACTAATTCCAAATACCACATGATTTTTGGAAAGACTGATGCTTCAAGACGAGACCAGATTACTCGAACGATTAGATCCAGTGAAGGCTATGAACTGGGGGTTTTAGATGTTCAGAAAAGCAAACCATCAAAAGCAAATAACCGGTAGGATCTCCTCAAAAAGATCAACAAGAAAGACAAAAGCAATCGCTTTCTTGATCGAAAGACAGATTGCAAATCATTACTGACAAGATTGCCCTTGTTTTGAAGAACATTTAATCCTGAAGGAAAACGATCGAGAAATGACCTGAGCTTTTCAAGATTGCATAGAGTGCATGATCTGGAATTTCAGGAAAAACACAACGACAGCTCTACAATTTGAAGAAACCCCAAAAGGATTTGCTACAGATAGCAGTCACAAGCAAAAAAGCTACGATCTTTACAACACGAAATCCCAAAACAGGAGCAAGAAAGATGTTTCAGGATGAGAAGATTCAATCTTCACAACTGACCTTACACAAGCAAAGCCGCATCTCCGTTGACCAAGGAAATCCCATTTGCTCCGACCCGATACCTGAGAAACAAAACAAGGGAAGAAGGCTAGAAAAAAGATCAAATTTTTAACGCAGCAGAAGCAAAAGCAGCAAGATTTAGTGGTTCAGGTACCGATCACTGGATGAATCAGTCAAGCCTTGCATCACAAAAGGAAGAAACAGGATTAGACTCGAAGAAAGAAGAAGAAAAGATTCACTGAGAGAGAAACCACTGAACCAGCAGAGGATGCTGCAGAGCACAAAAGAAGGAATAGAAGAGAGAGAGAGAAGAGAAGCGTGGTGATATCTCACTTGCTTCAGAGCCCAAAACTATACATCTATGGATATTATTTATATTACCATAGTTCATTATTAAGCACTTAATTGTGAGTAATTTATATCATTAGATTGGAGTCACAATAAATAAAAAGCAATGAAAATTGAGATAAACAATGAAAATATAGGATCAAAGAAGCCTTTACCAGTCCATGAGACAAGGGAATAGAGGGAAGTGATCTGTAAGCAGAATTCTGTCCTAATTGTACTGTGATGGGTGGACCAAATCAAGTGGATTCTGCTCACCATATCAGAAACTGTTGGGCCTTGTTGGTGATATATATATATATATATATATATATATATATATATATATATATATATATATATATATATATATATATATATATATATATATATATA